CTTGGCACTGAAGGGGAGCCCTGTCGAAACTGCCACTTTCCTTAATTGTTTCGTGTACACGGTGTCACCTTGCCTGCGCGCTGTGAGAACGGAAGGCGGGAGGAGGAGGAAGTTAGGATGTAGGGACGCTTAATCTTTTTCTCTTTCCTGTTCCATCTCCCTCTCCACTTTATCGATCTGACCATCTCTCTCTCTCTCTCTCTCTCTCTCTCTCTCTCTCTCTCTCTCTCTCTCTCTCTCTCTCTCTCTCTCTCTCTCTCTCTCTCTCTCTCTCTCTCTCATATCTCTGCTCTTTCCTCTCATTTTGTCTCTTATCCCTCTTTCCCTCCTCTCCCTTCTTGGCACTCTCACCCTTCCTCACGCACTTTTTTTCGGTTCTTCATTTTTCCTTCGATATACCATCCCTGTGGCATTAAACTTAGGGAACTCGGCATGCTGCTCACGAGGTGCGCAAGTCGATGATAATCAGCACAGGCCACGTTTGTAGAAGTCAGAGTACAAGTCAGGTAGACCTTTTCTCGAAGTCAGCAGCATGATTGAATGGCAAAGAGCCTCCTCCGATTGCTGTGCGGGACCGGGCAAGGGTGATCGTTGATTTCCAGTAAACTCCCGTATCGTGTTACCGTCAGAACCAGACTCGTATCGGGTATCGGATGTCGATATTGTGCAATTTTTGCCGTTGGTCGATGAATCAGAACCGTTTTGCGAGAAGGCAAGTCTGTAGGGCGAGGGTCCCGTACGATGACCCGTCACCATCCTGTCGGTGGCAGCAGATGTGTCGTGGATGTGTTGTGAAGACTCCTCTCTACGGCCTCCCTGCCTTGCGTTATTTATGGCACGCATTAAGGATGGATTAACTGCTCAGGATTCCGCACAAAGACGGGCTATTTTTCCTGGCCGCGCGGCGTGGCCAGCAGGTGGCGCTGATGGAGCTCGTCTGCCCGTCTTCAGGGACGGAGCATCATTAAAAGACTTTCCGCTCGTGAATAACAGTTAAAAAAAACTACTAACATTTACGGGTTTCTAGACAACAGGATTTTGTGTTTGATTTCTTCCTTGGCACGTTAGCTTGTCTGTGCATTTACTAAAGCGAGCAGCTTCATGAGCGATGAAAAGGAGCGCGACAGCCGGGACCCCCCGCAGGGCCCGGCCGCACGACGCGCCAAGTCCCGTTGACGCAGCGGCCGGCGCGAGATGACGCTATGGCAGAACGTGATCGGCGGAGGCCCTGTCTTCCTGCCCGTCCTCCACATGGCGTCATCCGGACCAAGCCTTTCGGTGCTATGGGGGAGGGGGAGGGGAAATGGGAACGGGGCATTTGAGGTGTTATCAATAACCTGCTGAGGTTCTGGGCTGTTTACTTGCGTCAGGGCTGCCTTTGTGCGTAGCGTGGGAAGCAGAGTGGAGTCTGTGTGATTTATCGCATAAGACGAACACGTATGTAGGTATTGTTTGTGTAGTCTTTGTGCGAGTTGACGTAGTGTAACATATGCTTTGTCTATGTTTTGCGAGAAATGATTTGTTGAGTTGATGTATTGACCATTAAGTTAACATTGATTTATCGATCATACAGTAAGCGTTAATTTGTCGATCATTAAAGTAAGGTTGATATATCAATCGTTAAGTGAACGGTGCCACAGACCACATGCTACATCCACGCCACGGAAGCACTGACTCCTTGGAATGCCATTAGTGACATGTATACCAGATCCTCGTTGCCAATCAATTCGAGTGTTCTGTGAGATGATAGCTCTTACCAGATAAGCGGATAAGAGATTTCACAATGAGTAATAAGCGTGGACAATAGCCAGAGCGGCAGCTGTGGTGGCCAGTGTTTGTGTCTCAGTCGGTGCCCACACCTGTTGGCTCTCAATGCTCGGCTTGCCATGTCTTGAGATGTTTGCTCCAGGCTTTCGTCTGCTTTATGTGTTGTTGTAAAGTGTAATTATGAGTGGAAGTGCTTATAAAAGTGATGGCTTCATCTTTCGCCCACATTGTAGCGTGTGACTCCCCGAGCGGGTACAGAGACAAGGACTCAGGCTGGTACGACATGGCGCCCGTGCTGGCGTACGAGCGTGGAGCCTCGTACCCTGATCTGAAAGGTCCGCCCCTGCGGGAGCCCCTCCAGGATTACCTACGGCCCTCCAGGGACTCCCACAATGAGGGCTACGGCCCGTCCCGCCGGAGGAGCTACCAGGACGAATCGGCGCAGTACTTCGTGCGGGCGAGCCGCTCCTCCGGCCGCCCTCATGAACCGCCTCGGAGGACCAAGTCGTCGGCCGCCATCAGACCGTCTGAGTTTTTGCGCTCACGGGACTTTCGCGAAACTCTGAGTCCTTGTGGACGAGATGATGGCGGCGCCTCGTGGGCGTGGGAACCCATGAGCGTCAGGGAAGCCCTACAGGGCCCACAGGTACCCTTCAGATTCTGTCCGTCCCTGGCTGCGTGTCACATCCCCCGCGCCTCCGTCAGAATCCCACGCAAATCATTCAACAGGTAGGACCACAGTAACACAACGTTGATTCTCATTCCAGTAATTCATCCTAACTTTATCCCGACTCAGGAACATTGTTGTTTAAATCGAGATAATTTTTAAATAACGTCACGGCCACAGCGCTCGTAACCGAGAGCCATAAGCGAACAGGAACTAACGCGGTGAGTTGTTTAGGAAACTGACATGCAGCGCGTCTCCTCCTGGTACTGTGTATTGTTCATGAGAGTAGAGTGAAATTTCACCCAAATATAGTGTATATGTATGCATAGGTTTTACCACACGTTAAGTACTAGTAAACAAATAGAAAGGAAAGAAAAGGGTTTCTCCGAGGCAACTCCTGACCATGAATGAGGTAGTGAAGGTCTCCATTGACCGCGCTGTAGAACTATCCGGAGCGTGAAGTGTTCGCGGCCGCCGTTCATTCCCCGTAAACGCAGTGACTGGCGCGTCAGGTGTCGTTGCCGTAGATTTATGAATCTCATTTCTGAACTTTTATGGCGCACCTTGTTCGAACAGCCGTTCTCTCTGGCTCTCCTTTTCCGCTCTAGGCTGTTTATATTTGGTTAGATTGAGTTATTGGTGGTTTTGGACATCAGTTGAATGTATTTTTGGGATATGAAAGTCTCAGAAGAGCAATTCGATGGAATCTACAAGCGCACGCACACGCACAATCACATGCACATACATACGCAATCACACTCGACCATGGGCACAGACTCGTACACATACACTTACGCTTACACATGCAAGTACACATGCACATGCACACCCACACTCGTACACATACACTTACGCTTACACATGCAAGTACATATGCACATGCACACCCACACGCTCACGCACACGCTCACGCACACGCACACGCTCACGCACACGCACACGCTCACGCACACGCACACGCACACGCACATGTACTTGCACACAATCACACACACACACACACACACACACACACACACACACACACACACACACACACACACACACACACACACACACACACACACACACACACACACACACACACACACACACACACACACACACTTACACACACACACACACACTTACACACACGTACCCACACTAACCCCCCCCCCCCCACACACACACACCGACACACACACACGAAAGCAAGCATCTCTGCGTGGTTTGATTAAATTAGTAATTCGTTTCATCACACTTACCTGACCAGATATCTTGCAATTACGTCATCACGGAATGCAGTAGTTATCACAAATTCTGATAAACCGAATTCCCCCAACCATTATAACTTGGGTCATTCGCAGACAGGATTCAATTCCATAACACAGCGTCTCAAATTCCCCGGCGTCGCTCACTGCCTACCAATTGGGAAGAAGGGAAGACCTGTTTGTTACTGCGAATAAACGTCCTAGATGTTGAAAGCCTGAAGCGCATATTTTTAGAAACGCTGAAATTCACCGCCAGCTGTCACCTCACCATTTCGTGCGGGAGTTTATTGAAAGAATTAGCATAAATGTCTTTTTTTAAAGGTTGTGTATTTTTGTTTCATTACAGAAGCCCAGATTTTTTTTTTTATTTTTGAATTTTTATTTAACGGAGTTCATTAGTTTCCTCTTTCGATATTAACATTGTCGGTGAGAACTAACACGACTGCGAAATGAGCTGATAGATCTAATCAAAATCCTGGCCACAAAAAAGCAGAGAGGGAGGGGAGGGGGAAGAGGAAAAGGAGAGGGAGAGTGGGAGGGGGAGGGGTTGGGGAGTACATGAGAGAGGAAGAGGGAAAGGGAGGAGGCCGACCAGAGAAAACACAGTGGATATTAACTCGCAGGAAGGACGATCATCGCGCATTGGTATTCCGGCGGCGGGAACAGCGGTCATTGCAGTGAAACCTCGACGGGGGTGAGGAGAGCGTGCAAGACCGGCAAAGTTTACTCGGTCCTTCCAAGGATTTTATGACGGCTGCCTTCACGCTACAGCGACGCCCAACGCTGCTGTGTAACGGCGTTGCGCGGCGCCCCTCGAGGCTGTGGATGCGCTCGGTTCGGCTACACTAATTGGCGCGAGGAGTATTATGGGATAGAGAGTGCGTAAGTTCTTCCTGGTAATAACGCATTCAGGAGGCGCGGCCGGAGTTGTGATGCTGACGCGCGCCCTCCAAAGATAGATAGCCTATGCATCCTCTTCCTTGTTTAGAGAGGCGAGGATGAAAGGGGGATAGAGAGGTAGCGGGCGGAGCGTGGTTGGTGGCTCTGTCGGGGCTCCTGGGTGAGTCAGCAGCCCGGAGAGCCACGCCGCTGCACAAAGAGACTCCGAGTGCCTCTCCTTATCGCCTCCGCCCCCCTCTCGAGCAACCTTGCGTTTCACGCTCTGCGCTTGCCGTGCTTGCTAACCTCCTCCGATCTCCGCCAAGGCACGCATAGAAACTTTCCTTTTTGAATGTGTGTTCATTGTTGCCGTGAAATAACCCTGGTCTTTTGTTATCGGCTGCTTGACCCAGGGAGGCCAGGCCGTTTTTACCAACCATTGACGTTCACTTGATGAATATTTACATCCCAACTATAACTTACTCCGTTGCATCAATAGCAGACTTAGCGCGGGCGGAGGTGTCCTCAGACCTCGCCTGATAATTTGCAGGTGTTAGGAGCACCTGGGTTGCTCACACCTGTGTTTATTTTCTGAGCAGTGAATCAACAGTGGGTATCTTTAGCATTCGAAAAGACGTCATAAAGTCTGGGCCTTGAAGAGAACTCTACTATCTAATGGAGAAGTGCATGAACCGTCTGCGGCTAGAAAGAGATGAATAAAAATAGACAAAATAGACATGATCTGTTATACACTATCCCTTGTTCGATTGTCTGTTCGGGCGCAGCAGCAGGATACGGTCTACTGTCTTGATTGGTAATTTTTAAAGGTTAGAGATAAACTTAGATCCAGTCAACAAACTGAATATTTTGAACCTCAAGGTAAGCGGCCCGATATGGCAGGGAGCCAAGTAAGCAAGGGATGCCCTGGATCTGAGACAAGAAGTGATATCGTCAGTGTAAGTAAAAGTAGGATATCTTGCTCATTTGAAAATTTTTGATAGGGGAGAAGCTCACGGAAAAGGAGGAGAGGCCAAGAAGCAGAGGAAGGGAGAAAAAAAGTGGGTGAGAAGAGGGCAGAAAAAATTAAATGAAAATCAGAGGGAGAGGGAATATATGCTGATAAGGGCAAACTTCGATAAAGAGTTAAAAGACAAAGGGAGAGAGAGAGAGAGAAAGAGAGAGAGAGAGAAAGTGAGAGAGAAAAAAAAGAGAGAGAGAGAGAGAGAGGGAGAGAGAGCGAGTGTGAGAAAGAGGGAGAGCGAGTGTGAGAAAGAGGGAGAGCGAGTGTGAGAAAGAGGGAGAGCGAGTGAGAGAAAGAGGGAGAGCGAGTGAGAGAAAGAAGGAGAGCGAGTGAGAGAAAGAAGGAGAGTGAGTGAGAGAAAGAAGGAGAGCGAGTGAGAGAAAGAAGGAGAGCGAGTGAGAGAAAGAGGGAGCGAGTAAGAGAAAGAGGGAGCGAGTAAGAGAAAGAGGGAGCGAGAGAAAGAGTGAGGGAGAGAAAGAGTGAGGGAGAGAAAGAGTGAGGGAGAGAGAGAGAGAGAGAAAGAGAGAAAGAGGGAGTGAGTGAGAGAGAGAGAGAAAGAGTGAGTGAGTGAGAGAAAGAGTGAGTGAGTGAGTGAGAGAGAGAGTGAGTGAGAGAAAGAGAGAGAGAGTGAGTGAGAGAAAGAGAGAGAGAGTGAGTGAGAGAAAGAGAGAGAGTGAGTGAGAGAAAGAGAGAGAGAGTGAGTGAGAGAAAGAGAGTGGGTGAGTGAGAGAAAGAGAGTGGGTGAGTGAGAGAAAGAGAGTGGGTGAGTGAGAGAAAGAGAGTGGGTGAGTGAGAGAGAGTGGGTGAGTGAGAGAAAGAGAGTGGGTGAGTGTGTGTGTGAGAGAGAGAGAGAGAGAGAGAGAGAGAGAGAGAGAGAGAGAGAGAGAGAGAGAGAGATTGTGAAGGGATTTAAGATATGTGATGATGTGTCAGGCAGAATGTTCAGTCCTGTATGCTGCCAGGCGGGTAAGGCGGGCAACAAACAGCACCTGTAAACCTTGAAGTACCGTTGTCGGGCCCTCCCTCTACCTCCCAGGACTATCCGACTATCTGCTCTTCTGTCTCTTTGCCTCCCCCTATTACTTACTCCTCCCGCCCATGTGTCTCCCTTGTCCTAGTAACTTTTCCTTATTCGTATCAACGCCTGTTATCTCTCTTCCTCGATCTCGTTTCGTGCCGATCTCAGTGTGTGCCGGTATCGCCTATCTCCTAGACTCACTATCTCTTAACTTTCGAGCGGTCTCTCCTTAGCAGTTTATATGTGTTCTTATCTGACGGATTCTTTTTTTTTGTGTGTCCGTTTTCATTTGCATCCTTTTTATCTATGGGGCGGCCATGGTGTTCAGCCTGTTCCTCCGTTTGAGTGCCCGTTTTCTGTCAGTTCACCTCTTGAATCCTCTTAATCGGTCCACGCAATGGTCACCTCACGAGTTAGGTCACATTTTCTATGGCTTTGTGACCTTGGTTGAAGGGTAGAAGCCACGTGGGCGAATGGGTCGGAGAGGTCGTGCGGGGGGGGGGGGGCGTCAGAAGGGGTTTGTAGGTTGTGTGGGAGGGGGGGGGGTCCTGTAAGTCGTGTTAATGACCCAGATCCGATGAAAATGATTTTATGGCGGATCGAATGTTGGAGCAAGGTTGATTGACAGGCGTAAATAGAGGCAGAGTTTGCCGTCGCCTGTTCTGTGCTCGTGCACGCCGGAGAGCCACCGTGCGTTGTTTGATAATGCCGAGTGTAAACAGGTACCCGCTCTCGACCACTGTCAATATTGTCCCTCTGAGGTGTGACGGCGTGTTTGCTGTCTTGAGGCTAATTACGGTATCTTTCATAGACTGACTTACGTGCACACACTCTTTCGCTTTCTTCTCTCCTCTCCTCTCTCATCTCCTCTCTTCTTCTGTCTCATTTCTCCTCT